GTGAGGGTATATTTAGACAAAATGATAACAAATTAATCATGGGTTCCACACCTGTAAATAAAATGTCATAATATCAAACTTTGTGCCTTTACACAAGTCATAATGCACCAAAGTTAACACTTGCTGTTTTTAGCCCATAGTGTTCTGTATAAGTTATACCCTCAAAACAAATTTCGTACGGCAAAATCAATCATAGACATAACATTTTAAAATCAATTCATCAATATTGCAATGTTTTTCAAGTATTCAAATATAAAATTATAAACAATTCACAAAATCTTTATCTTTCCACAAAATTTCTCAATATTGTCCAAACCAATATTTGATAAAATATCATGATAATCATCAACACAAACCTTACAAAAAAACATTATAAAATGCAAATCACCCAACTCTGTTTTATGTTACAGCGTCCCTTAAAAATGGTTAAGTAAGTAATATTGAACATTTTCATTCATAAAACTATTGTATAACAAAATAAAAACTAAAACAGAAATATTCGTAATAGAATTTAAATAAAGTTTGGACTTGCCAGAGTCCTCCCAATTCACTCTCCTAAGTGGTAATAAGATAATGTAGGAGATAAGACTACCAATTGGTGTGAAGATCTTGTATAAATTCTTACTTGCTAAAAACTTCTTTTCAATCTTCTAGGGGGTGTTTGGTTGCTGGAAAATATTCAGAAGCTAGATATCTGATTATTGGGAATAAGAGAAAGCTACATTTGGTTCAAGTTGTTTCCTGATTTAGGTGCCAAAATGTGAATCATAGGAAACTCACTTGCATAGGTATCTCTCCTCAGAAAGCATGCCAAATTTCTCCTTCGCGTAGATGGTATTATCAAAAATCACGAGATAAGCTCACAGTACATACAAAGGCAAAGACGAGCGTGCCCTTTCACAAAGGCAAATGATACGGATAAAGGGTAGCAATCCTGTTTTGTCATTTTTTAAAACAGGGATATTTTTGTAATTGTGACTTATTTTCCCATCTATATTTTACCTCAAACCAAACATAGACTTTATAAATCTTACTTAATTTACCTAGTAATTTTTTTTCCTACCAAACAACTTTTTTTACATTTTCCTACCAGACTCATTTCTCAACCATTTCCCTACTAATCACATTTTCCTATGGAGGCGTTTGGTTGAGAAATTTTTTTTCGAATAGTAGGGAAATGTAATAGATAGAGAAATGATTAGAAAGATAGATAAAGTGAGATAGGTAGAAAAATGTAAAAAAAAGTTGTTTGGTGGGGAAAGACTTTACTGGGAAAATTAGGTAACTTTATGAAATCAACAGTGCATTAAAAGCTAGATAATCGATTTTCCGAAAAATCCCACCTTCAAATTGGGTTTCTAAACAGTGCGGATATCTATGTTTCTCATAAATCCAGACAAATTGGATAGATGGGTTTTTGGTGAAAATACGTTGAAACAAACATGGTGTTTCTAAAAGCCATACTTGAGAAACATAGATATCCGCTGAAAAGCTCCCAACCAAACACCACCTATGATTCATAAAAATTTCTCCTCAACCAAACGCCCCCCTAGTGTTTTATTTTTTCTCCATCTTTCTATTTCTCTCCACTATTTGCTTCTCATTCTCTCTAATTTTTTTTCTCCTCCAACTTCTACTTAAACCTTACCTATTTATAGGCATTCTTCTTTTAGACTACGAGACAATGATATTACCACTATCTTTGGACTTGTATTCCTTATTATTGCTCTTACGACTAATCATTTTGGTATTTTTGAATGATATTGCTTCATTATTACTTTCACAACTAATGACTTTGTCACCACCATTTGGTATTTTTCAATAATATTGTTTCATTATTATTTTCACAAATAATTATCTTGTCATCAACATTTAGTGTTTTCCAATGATATTTCTTCAATTTGGACTCTTTTCCTACATAACAATTTTTACAACTCACCACTATTTGGTGTTTTTTAATAATTTTATGTCACACAATTGCATAATTAAGAAAGACAATTAATCGTTTAATGATATTATCAACTTAATTTATGCTCACAACAATATTTTTTCTTTCTATCTTTTTTTATTTTATTATTTTTGGATGTTATATTTAACTCATAGTATGATCATTAAAAAAAGAGACGAGAGAGAATCAATCCTCGGATTCCATTGAGTAATAAAATTCATCCCATTTTAATTTATTGTTTTTTTAGTAATTTAGAACCTTAAAATCAGCAAAGCAATCGTCATTAAATTACAATATCATTGTTCTTATTCTTTCTTTTAATTTTTTTTTTACTTTCTCACTTTATTATGCATTTGAAAGACCTCATTAAGTTTTTGATATGTCTTAATTTTAATATTTTTTTTATTTGTATTTTATTTTATGCAATTCAATAATTGAATAACGGGCTCGTCAATTCAATATCTTATGATGCCGACGAGATGAGTGGTTGGAATTTTAAAACAAGAATTGAGATAGGCTTTTACCTTAGTGCCCATAGAAGAACCATTGTCAGCAAGAATAATGTCATTGAGATACACCAATAATGCGATGAACATATCCCCTTGGGTAAAGGTGAACAAAGTGTAATCTGTTCTAGATTGTATGAAACCAAAATGCAATAGATCGAGAATTTTGCAGCTTAGCAAACTAATTGTGTGGTGACTACCGAAGTCCATACAAAGATTTTCAAAGTCGTTACACTTTAGATGTAGAACTGATAGAGTATTTTGGTGGAGGACACATATACACCTCCTCATATAAGTCATCATGGAGAAATGCATTATTAACATCTAACTGATGAAGCTCCCAGCGTTTAAAATGTGGCGATGTTTTCTCTCAACACAACCATTTTACCGAGGAGTATCCACACACGAAGTTTGATGTATAATACAGTGTTCTTCAAACATTGAATCATTTTCTTATTCACAAATTCAGTTTCATTGTCAGTTCGCATTTGTACAATCGTAACTATCACCAATGATGCAATAGTAAGCATCATGAATGCTACAATCGTAACAACAAATCACAAGATATTTGTCAAAAATATCTTGTAATCTGACACTATAGTTTATGTAATCTGAAGTCCAAACCATGTAATATGAAGAATTGCAGAATAGAAACTTTTATTATGGATTCATGCTTCCGGCGCTTAATTTCCTAATTGAGCATCTCACTATTATCCAATAGACACATAGTAAAAGTCAAAGCTCTAGACGTAGCTTTAAATGTAAGTTCACATCCTATAGTCTCTTCATATTCGTTGACGTTGATGGAGACTGGATAGGTGAACTCTTCACTGTTATTTATTGTAATATAATTGACACTTGAGAAATGTAAACACAATTTTTGATATTTTCTTTCTCATACTTTCTCTATTATTTGATAAAATCCTATTCTGATTTTAATAATAAATTGTAGACTTTCATTTACTAACCTAAATTTCATACAATAATAAAGAATACTAAGAAGAAAATTTCATTGCAGAAGTGCATTAAACTGAATGGGCTTCTTTGCAGCCCAAACTGTCTTTGTTTCTTCTCAAAATATTTAGATGGCGTGGACACCACCTTGAGTACTCTTCCTGCTACTATAACCTTTGTCATGGCTAGTCTACAATCATAAAACCTTCATAGTATTATCATAACAGCCCTGACGTATTATCATAGTAATTGCTGATGTTACTTGGCAGATTAAATAATGGTAGGGTCACAAAATTTAAGTTTTACCATCTTTGCCTTCCACCATCACGATCACGATCACTTATGTAATAAAATAAAATAAAAAAAATAGTCACGTTTTTCAACTCTGGCATCAATCCTTAATTGATGCAAATACAAGTTCAGCAATACTATTCCACATTCAAGGAGCGCTCGAATACGACACTTAAAATATTACTCTTACATGTTAAATATTATATAATTACCTAGATAAAAATAATAAAGTATCACTTGAATTTAGTTGATATGATAAGATTTTTGACGACAGCGGTTGTTAGAAGGTTATTGAATGAGCTATATATTTGTTGAAAGCATATTACGTATGAGATTTTACTGGATTTGATATTTGGCATGATGGTCTTAGAAACAGTTGATATGAATGTCACACACTTCCCCAAAACTAACAAGTTTTCTTGCCTCACAAATAAACAAACAGTATGATGAAAGACTTGTAAGGGTTCCATAGTCCCACAAAAAGAATTCAGTGATAAAAACAACCAACCACACACCACCCATGTGAGTGGCGTGAATTCTCAGAAGAAAGATTCTGCTGGTGGGGGGGAACGCTGTTTGAACAGTTTGCCATCTTAAATGCATATATATGGAGTCAGTTGCTGATTTTATGCCTAAGTTTATTGCATAGCAGGCCCATGAGAAAAGGATGTTCTCAACAGTTCCCATTCCCAGCCCCTTCTTTTTCCTCATCACTTCCATCATCGCCCCCCCCCCCCCCAAAATAGTTCACCATAACCTCTTTTCTGTAGCCGAAAAGTCAAACAATTCTCCATTTGCTCTCAATTGAATCTTGAAAAACATATTCACAAGCCCAAAAAACAACCTTAAAAATAAGGACTATTCCAATTCCTGTCCTTTCCTAGCTTTTTTTTTTTTTACACGTATGATCCTATTCAGTCCTTTGAATCCTAAATTATTTTTAATTAGTACCTTCCTATTCTTAACGACTTAGCCATATATTCCAAGTAACATAGAATGTCTCAACGGACACATTTAATATCCAAATGATCCATTTCAATCTGGTTGGCTGACAAATTTAATTAACCAAAGGGATTTAATATAAAATATAGAATGGGGGGGTGTGTGAAGAACTTAACATGAAAATGAATATAAAGATAGAAGAAGGTTATACTTATAGTAATCAAATTAAATTATATTATTATTTTTATTAAGTTTGGAAAGGGGTCCCCATGTGAGAAAGAAAGGAAATCACAACAGAGATAGGTGATCTCAACAGAAGTGACGCAAGGTTAAACAGTCACAAAACTAAAGCAACTATCCTTTCTGTTTACCTCGAATGGCTTCTCAGTAATGTTGGACCACGCCTATATTGAGGAGTTTCCGGGAAAGTTTGCAGCTTTTTGTTCGGTTCTAACTTCGATCATGTGGCTCCTACCCCAAGGAAGTCAATAAATGGAGGTGGAATTGCATCTGGGGGGTCACTGTTCAGGGCTTGATCTCTGTGTTCTGCCACTGATGATAGTGAAGGTTCACTGGCCAATCTCTGTGCTCTTGATGCTGTGGAATTTGAGAAACTGTGAAAATTGTGATTGTTTGCCTCTTGTTGTTGCATTAGCATCACATATTGGGGATGATGATGAGGGTAAAAACCAGATTGTTGATGATGAGAATGAGGATGTGTATCACTTGGCCTATCCCACTGTCTTGTTTGGCTATAATACTCCCCCACCATGTCATTGCTTCTACCACCTGTATGTCCAACCAGAGGATAAAGTTAATTGCAGTCTGAAGCTATATATACCAAAAATGTGCTACATATGTTCAAGTTTGAGAAAGAGAGTGTGGCTTTGCTGCAACCCAAAGATAACTAAAGGAAGGGTTGCATCAATCACTGTTGTAACCAAAAAGATAGAAAAATAAGATATTTAACTTGATTGAACAGTAAGAAATAGTGTGTTTAAAAAGCCAAGGAAGGAAGCTTGGAACAAGAAGCCAGTAAGAAAGTTAGGAACAAAGGATTTAGAGATATGCTGGAGAGTATGGACACACCAGAGAAGAAATCAAGTGGTGTCGGTTGAGCATACAAGCCAATATGAGGAGGGGCCTGCTTGTTACTTGAGATTGCTTCTTTCCCAACAGTCATGTGGGGTGAACCATTCAAGCCATACTCAACCCCACCACTAGTTCCATGGAAAGATGCATATGGGAAACTAGCCATGTTATTGCTGAGTCCTCCTCCAATTGGAAGATCGAGACAATAGGGTGGTGGTTCTGTCCCTGTTGTGGCTGTGTCTCTAGAGACAAAGCTTGTATTTTCCTCCATTCTTCTGTAAACAGATTGGCTCAGCCTCCTCCTCCTGTAAGCACTGGATTGTTCTCTGTACTTTCTGGCCATTATAACATGCCAGTGATTCTTGACAGCATTATCTGTTCTTCCAGGGAAAAGCCTAGCAATCATGGCCCATTTGTTACCATAAATCCTATGTGCTTGCATTAGCCTCTCTTCCTCTTCTTCAGTGAATGCTCTCCTATTGATCCTCGGGTCCAACTGGTTGAACCATCTCAGCCTACAACTTTTGCCTTCAAATACCAAAAATATCAACAAAGTGAGTAAAGAGAAGAAAATGACACACCAACAAAAACATATTCAACTCATTTAATAAAAGGGACACCACCAAAAGAGAAAAGAGATCAAAGTTCTTTAAGAAAAAAGGAAGCAGAAGATTATACTAACTATATCCTTTTGCACTAGTTTTCAAACCTGATCTTCCTTCTAACTTTTCAGCTATCAGGTTCCAGTTCTGAGGCCCATAAAGAGCCACAAGTTCCTTGAGCTTGGAATCTTCTGCAGGCCTCCAATGTCCTCTTGCACATAGCTTGGAATGTCCCGTGTCTGCCTCTTTGCCAGTCACAGAATTCTCATTAGGGTTCTCTTCATTAAATCTAGCATTATGATTAATCTTGTCACTGTTTTCCCCAGCCCCACCACTACAATCAGACCCTTTACCCTCCACAACAACATCACTGTTAGGGTGTTCCTCAAAGCTTCTTCCAAGGCATTCCCTCACAAATGGCAATGCCCAGCTTGTAGTACCCCCGTTTTCCATCACAAAGCTCTTGGAGACATAGCAATCTTGAGATGAAGAAACACCATAGTTGGAACAAAGGGATAGAGAACCCAAGTCTGCATAAACCATTCCCATTGAAGGAGAAGTAGAAGAAGAATAAGAAGAGGAGGAAGTTGACGATGATGTGTATACAAGACTTGCTGGCCATGCCTTCATTTTCAATCTCACAGATGGATATAAAAGAATATTTTATGTGATAATGCAGGAGACTAACATAATAGCAAGGTTTGACAAGACATACAGTGAAGGTAGGAAGAAGAAGAAGAAGAAACCAAAAAAAGAGGAGTTTTTGCAGCAAGAAACTTAAAACAGATAAAGTGGTTTGAAGTTTTAAAACCTTTAACTGATACCTACACGGATTCTAATTTCTATTCTCCACTCATGGTCATGGTCTCTCTCTCAAATCAATCCATTGGTTCAATGAAGAAAGAAAGAGAGAGAGAGAGAGAGAGAGAGAGAGAGAGAGAGGTATGAAGTAGTTAAGTAGCCAGACTGACCCAATGACCCTGGCATCCTCATTTAACCAGTTCCTGTCATTATGTTACTATTTATTCTATTCTTTTTAACAAAATCACACCCTTCTTCACTCACACGTGTGAGAGTGAGAGACAGGGAGAAAACACTTTTTCTCTCTCTATCTCTATTCATTGGGAGTGCAGGGTCTTAGGCTGTCTGTCTCTCTCTAAATTGACAAGAAAGACACTAATGTGATGGGTGCTTACTTGGGCTTGTGAAGCAGCAGGGACATCTTTCTTTTCAAATGAGGGCTTTGCTTTGCTATTGCTAGTTTTCTACACAACGGAACAACCCTTGTCATCATCTTTCATATACACTACTAACTAATAAATTACCCTAGCAAACCTATTCAACACCTCACTCTCTCTGTCTGTCCCTATCACCGTCACCATCATCATCAGCATAAGGATCCCTGCATCAGTCTTGCTTCTGATTATGTTATGTTATTAACTGAACTTAATTGAAAGAGGGTTTAACCTTGGTTTCCGTTGAGTTAACCACTTTAAAGTAGACCTAACAAATAACAACCAAACCCTCCCTTTGGTAGTAAAAGAATTACTACATATATGTGCCTGTTGCCTCAACTAATTATAACAGTTCACAAACCTCGTTACCATAATGGTATTCTAAATAGACTTAACTTCATCCCATCCTGCGGGTCTTTAAATTATACTCATTTTGTTTAGGTGGCTTTTTTTATAATAAAAAAATTATTTAAAAAAAAGTTACCCCTTTGAGGTGAATCTATTTTGCTTTGATTCATATCTTTGATCTATGTATAAATATCATGTTCGAATTAATTATTAACCAAATTAATTATATTAACTGATCTTTATTAATTTTATGTTTACCTTACATATACATTTTAGTTTCCACAAACAAAATCTATGTCACGTTCATCCATCATTTCTCTTTAAGAAAGTAAACGAAAATTTATTTTCCAGTATCGTACCTAGTGCAGATGTATGTCACTTTCATAAACACTGTTGTAAAGTTGAATTATATATGGATTCACTTTTTATCATGTCCCATAACAAGAGTATTTTCTTACATATACAAATTAAGCGTAAATTTCACGCTTGAAAAAAAAAAATCTGGATACAGAATCGGATCTTTATTACAAAAAAAAAGAATCTTTATTGTAGGAATGAACATAGTGTCATTCGTGGAACATAATTTTTATATTTTCCATTATATATATGAAAAATTCGTAAACTTAAACTGAATTACATATCATTATTTAACCGACTTGTTTTGATTTTGATAAAACTAATAAATATTCCGTGTATTATGTGAGTATTTTAAGTTTAGGTGAAAAACTAAAAAGTATAAATTAAATAAAAAAATACAAAATATTTTAAATTATAAGAAATACATACGTAATTAACTTAATTAAGTAGAATTTAGAATATATAAGTTAAAAGAATTAAAATTACAAAGAAAATATGCATAATTAATTCAAAATAATTAAAATTTAAAACTTAAAAGAAGAGAAGTTAAAAGTACTGTTGTAAAAAACTAGTGTAAAAACATATAAACGTTAAAAATAAAGTGTAAAAACACAAATAAACACAATTCTTAGAAAAATTGGATAAAAAACGTAAAAATGGTACAAACACAAATTTATATGTTTTTACTTAAACCCAATCTTTAAAAAAAAAAAATCTTATTTCCCATTTTGCTTAAATTAGAATACGCAGCAACTTCGACTATCTTCTTCTAGCTATCTAACACAAATCAAACTCTTTAGTGACCTCGCATGTATCGCAGCTCTTGGTGCCATCTATCTCTTACCCCATACAGTGCCGAGGATGCGGCCACCAAATCCTTCTAATTAGGAACAACAATAATGATAAATGTGTCTTTATATTTTGCTCATTTTTTGTTTTGGAACTTGATTGTAGGAGTTGCTAAACTTTTTTTATATTTTTGGACTTATGTTTTATATAGTTATATGACTTATATCATAAAAAGTATGACGTTGTTTATTGAAATTTGAGTAGTGATTTATGTGGGTTTTTTTTTACATGCCTATAATATATATATGGGAAAAACATTTATCAAGCAGCTTGAGATAAGTTTGTCTCCGGCTACTCTAAAACTACGTCGTTTTATTTATTTATTTTCTTATATTAATTGATTCACCTTTGAATGGTTATGATTCCTTTTTTCTCTCTTTTCCTTTATCACCATTGATCCATCTTTGTACGGTTATGATTTAGTAGGCGGAGATAAGATTATCCCAAGCAGCTTGAGAAACGATAAGCCCAATATATATATATATATATATATATATATATATATATATGGGGTTTATTTTTCTGCAGCTGTTGTACGTGCAACAGTCAAATACTTACCATATATATACGTGAAATCATTAAATGTGGAGAATCATAACCATACAAAAGATGAAAGCATTAAATGTGGGAAATCATAATCATAAACCTGTCATTGTTGTATGTAAAGCGGCTGTAGAAATAATTTTACATATATATATATATATATATATATATAAATGGGGCAAGATCCTTTGACACTGGTGTCAAATTTTGAAATTTGACACCAAATCCTAATCGTTGATTTCTGCCAATCAACGATAATCATTTAGTAGGAATTAATAATTAATTGATAAGTTTGACAGGTGAAAATGATAACTGTTGATTGGAGAAAATCAACAGTTAGGATTTGGTGTCAAATTTTAAAGTTTGACACCGGTATCAAAGGATAGCCCCTATATATATACATATATATAGAGAGAGAAAGAGAATTTATTGTGTATTCTGTCACTAGATCATCATGTCACTCAAAACTACATCGTTTTGAATATTTATTACACTTATTTAATTGATCAAAAATAGATATTATATTTCTCTCTTTCATTATCATCATTGATCTATCTTTGTATGATTATGATTTTTCTGACCGGACAAATCCTTATATCCAGTGACTGGGTAAATATTTTTTAGCCACATGAGATAAACGTAACTCAAGCTACCCCTTATAACTATGTACTAAGGGTAGTACATAGTTATAATGTTAAAGTTATTTTTTTTTCTCTCCACATCAGGAGACAAAATTTGAGAAGTGTCCGAAGAGAGAGAGATAGAAAAAAATAACTTTAACATTATAATTATGTACTACCCTTAGTGCATGTTTCGTTCTTTTTTTTTTTAAGGTAGACGCTACTTATAAGTAGAAGCTAGGCCAAACAGGTTTTGAGAAAAACTTTTATAATGAAAATCTCTTATCAATTTTTCGTGAATTGTGTGTTTTTTTGTAAAACAAAATTAAGAGCCATAGAGATAGAGAAAAAGAAATTTTTCTTGAAATATGTGCTTTTAAATAACTTTTAAGCTAAAAAAATCTATATAATCACCAAATAGCTTTTAGCTTCTTATTTTTTCAAACTAATTTTTTTAGTTTTTGCTTATAAGTAGCTTATAACTTAAAAAAGAGGTGATTCAAACAGGTTTTTAGTACATAGTTATAAGTGTGCGGCTTGAGATAAACTTATCTCAAGTGGTTGGAGAAATATTTGTTCCTATATATATGTATTGTTAGGAATGGTGTGAGGGAGCCCAAAACCATTTACAAAGGATATCTCCATCAATGGAACAAGCAACAAACCACAATAAGTGAGCCGACATCACATCTCAATCCAAAACTTTAAGACCAAAGTTATATTGGTCTTTTTTGCACTTATATGGTCATTACTGGGTTCATGTTTAATCGATGTAGGACTTCACTAGTACTCACACTTGAATATTTCTAACATATTTCCCTCAAGTGTAAGGCTTCACATTAGCCAATGGTATGGGGGTAGCCCAAAATCTTTTACAAAAGATATCTCTATCAATGGGTCAAGTGACAAACCATAACAAGTAAGTCGACACCACATCTCAACTCAAAACCTTATGGCTCAAGTTGTATAGATCTTTTTTGCATTTATATGATCATCACTTGGTTCATATTTAACTGATGTGAGACTTCATTATTACTCATACTTAAACATTTTTAACATATATATGAGACAGATTATTCTTATACAGATGTAAATAAAATGATGCAACTAACATTTGATTCCCCATGAATAAGATTCTCAGTTTACTCTTATTTATACTTCATTATAAAAAACAAGGTAAACTTGCTCGAAAAAAAAAAAACTTGCTTTACATTAGTTATTGAAAAGTACTAGTTGCACATGTAAGAAAATTTCATGAAATAAGATTATATGAAATTAGAACACAAAAAGATTTAGGCTTACTTGTTGAAGACATGATTATTGATTTCTTTAAGGCTTCTTATTTATAATGCTCCTGCAATGGAAAGACCAGGATCTTCCTCTGCAATTCACATCACTCCCTGATCACATCCGTCGATGGGGCAAGTTGTGGAGTAACGATTTTCTAACACGTTATGAATGCAGAGGGGACCTAGCCAAACTTTTTAATCCTAGTCCCCTTCCCATCATGGGCCTATGGGTTAGGCCTGCACTATTACCCACACTAATATCCAAGTCCAAATAAAGAATCACTTAATTAAATGGACTTTATACTGCACTCCCATATAGATCATGACTTAGTCCGTTTTTATCAAAACAAGAAAACTACACTTGATTGAAGTCCACATTCTCTTCTTGA